AGATGCAAAAAAACAGAAATGTTTTGTCAACACAAATCTTAAAGCATCTATCAATACCCAAGTAGCCACTAAGCACTTATAGGTTGTACCCCCTTTCAGCATTACATGCCAATACAAATTCGTTCACTTAGAGCCGACCAATTTTATAAATTTTCTCAAATGCCGATATAAGTCCGAAAAAGTCGAAATAATTGGCCAGTAAAAAACTTGAAATAGCTTTTGAGAATGCTGATATTACGCCAAAAGTGAAATGTCAAACCGAGCAAAGGACAGCATGCTCTGTTTCACCGATATGAAATGCACAAAATATTGGTGGCTAATATTCCATCTCTTTATTACTCATACGCATGCTGTATGCTAATATTGATATTTTTTTAATATTTTTGATTTTAATACTCGAACAGAGGACCAAAGTTCACTGATTATTATTGCACGCCTTAGTCGCATGATCTAAATGAGACCGCGGTCTAAGATCATGCTAAGTGAGATTAAATGTTAAAGGGCGAACACGAAATTATGGTAAAAAGGTAAATGAATCATTAAACAATGACGATGTTCCTTAATAAGTAAAAAAAATCTCCTTAAAATAGATCGGATTGCTCCTTAAATGATTGATCAAAATACGTTAAAAATCTTAAAAGGCTCAGTAAATATTTAAAGTACGCTCCCTAAAATAGAGGAAACTGTACATTAAGCATTTGAAAATGCTCCTTAGTATGCACCGCTTTGCACCATTTTGAAGTGGAATTGTACCATATATCATCGGAAAAGCTGCTGTAAAAAGGTTAATATGTACCATGAAATCAGCTGAAATGTTCAGTAAATCATTGTGTGCATTTGTGCATTTTTACTGTACATTTCAGCTGATTTCATGGTACTTATTAACCTTTTTACAGCAGCTTTTCCGATGATATATGGTACAATCACACTTCAAAATGGTGCATACTAAGGAGCATTTTCAAATGCTTAATGTACAGTTTTCTCTATTTTAGGGAGCGTACTTTAAATATTTACTGAACATTTTAAGATTTTTAACATATTTTGATCAATCATTTAAGGAGCAACCCGATCTATTTTAAGGAGATTTTTTTTACTTATTAAGGATAATTTCATCTGTTTTATTGAGCAAAAGTAGGGCTGCCCGAAATTATTGCGACACATTCAACAGGGCATAACTTTTTTACCATTGGGTAAAAATCAACCAAATTTTGCACACTTTCTCATTGATGTGTATTGTTTACATGCTGTCAAACTCGAAGTCGTGTTTTTCGATTCAACGAAAATGGAAGTGAAACAACGCGAGTTGAGAGAACAAATTCTTTCCAAACACCTGGAATTTCCTGACCTGTCGCACCGGCAGTTGGGAAAAATGTTGAACATTCACCATTCAACCGTCTCCAGAGTGTTGAAGCGGTTCCAGGAGCGGTTGACGTTGGACCACGGCAAAGGAGCTGGAAGAAAATCGGGACCGGAGAACAAAAAGACGGAGGGAAAAATGAAGCGGATGATTAAAGCAAATCCCAACGTCTCAAGCCGTGATTTGGCTAAAAAGATCGGCATGTCGCAGAGCTACGTCCAGAATGCAAAGAAGAGAGCTGGACTACATACATACAAGGTACAGAAATTTCCAAACCGCGATGAGCGGCAACAATCGACGGCTAAAACTCGGGCACGGAAGCTCTACGAGAAGATGCTGACAAAATATGGCTGCTGTGTGATGGACGACGAAACGTATATAAAAGCCGATTTTAAGCAAATTCCGGGGTTGGAGTTTTTCACCAGCAAGAGCAAGTTCGATGTGGACGACAAATTTAAGAAGAAGAAAATGTCGAAGTTCACCTCCAAATATCTCATTTGGCAGGCCATCTGCTCTTGCGGACTGAGGAGTGAGCCTTTCGTGACAAAGGGCACAGTAAATGGCGAGATCTACAAATCTGAGTGCCTCGAGAAGCGCATTTTGCCGTTCTTGCAGCAGCACGACGAAGCTCCGCTATTTTGGCCAGATTTAGCATCATGCCACTATTCTAAAAGTGTCCTAGAGTGGTATGAGGCCAATTCTGTCCATTTTATTCCAAAGGACATGAATCCGCCAAACTGTCCGGAGCTGCGCCCGGTGGAGCAGTACTGGGCAATAATGAAGCGGGAACTTCGGAAGAGCAAGAAGACAGTCAAAGACGAAAAGGACATGTTAAGAAAATGGAAAAAAAAACTGAGAAACTGGTACCGGATGACACTGTAAAGACTTTGATGGCGGGCATCAAGCGAAAATGCGTTCAATTTTACACTCAAGGCTCCATCGATTAACTTTTCTTTTGATTTTTGAAGTAAATATATGTATAAAACTACCCTAAAATTTTGGTTTGATTCTAAACATTATTAGAAAATTGGCATGACATTTTCGGTGTCGCAATAATGTCGTGTTCGCCCTTTACAACTTGTTTACTTTTTGATGACATTCAGATGCATGAAATGGGGGAATACGGGATGAAACAAGGCTCTTTTAATTTGGAAAAAAAAACATATAACAGGTTATTTATTTTTTTTTAGGCCGGCGCCGGTGGTGTAGTGGTAAGCGTGACTGCTTTCTAACACCCCAATGGGTCTGCGTTCAATTCCAGCCGAGGTCGGTGGGATTTTTCTGAGACATAAAAATCTCTTTTCACGTCTTCCTTCGGAAGGGAAGTAAAGCCGTTGGTCCCGGCCCATGTGTGTTGAATGGGTGCGATATCCTACGCAGGTGTGGAAGCTGCCTTCCTGCACATTGGATTGCCGTCAAATGGATGGCAATCGATGTCCGTCGGTGATTGTCACCAGATTGCGGAACAGAGACCGACGTTAAATAATGGAAAGAAGAAGGTTAATTTTCACTTTCGGCGGCTTGCAATGATAGAATTGAACTAAACGTTACAAAGAAGAATAATAACGATGTTGTTAAATTCTTCTTCCGGCAAACCAAAAAACTCCTACGGTGACGAGTTGTCGAAACCGAAATCAGCCGTAAACTACTTACAGTTGATGCTGAGCATCAACGAGAAATCATTCAGGTCCTCCGGTTCGGTTACCGTTATGTTTTCTGCATAAAAAATCGTGTATTGTCCATTGTGTCCATTTCAAAAAAGTAATCATGAGACATGAGCAGGGCTGTCATCTGATCACTCAATGTGCGCAATGAACTGATTTTCTGAAATATACAAAGTGAGAACCAAGCAAACACAAAGTTAGCTTGTTTTGCACCCTGCGCAAGTGTAAAGCAGCGGAGAAGAGAAGACAGACACGCACCCAGAAATAACGAAAGCTCAATGTGTAGCCATCGCACCCACGGCTCCGACGCAAAGAGCGCCACTCAGTGTAGGGTTGCAAATGGGAAACACAGCAAAACAGACAAAATTCTTCTTTGGGATGCCCTTCTTCATCTCCTATGCATGCACTTGTGGTAAGCAAAGTCTGCAAAGAATTCAAAGAAGACATTAGCGCATTGTTGTATTAAATACGCTTCCTGCGCCGCACGGAATGTACCGCATTCATAGTGTGGATCGCTTTCTCACAGATTAGTTGGAAAAGAGTGTGCGAAGTAAATGAGAGAACCGGGAGAACCACACGTTGTCAAGTGTTGTGAGATGCATGCACAAAGTTGCTTTGCTAACGCTCTAAGGTGCTTTCCAGCCCTCGACATAAGTTTAAAACTGCTAAAATTATTATATAGTTATTAAAGTTTTTAACAATTTTTTTTTTGCTGATAATTTGCGATTTTTTTGCAGTGTATATTTTTGTCTGAAAAGGTCATTAAGTTTCCTACAACTTTGTATCAGACGACGTTTCGATTAGATGAGCCGATTTCGTGCTGTGATTTTTTGAAAAATATCGACTTTATTTTTTTTAAATTAGCCATTTGTCAAAATGGTCGAATTCGGGCACAAACTTAGATCATTGTCTATGCACTAAGATTATTTCACAGATTTCAGTGAAATTTTACCGAATTCTTAACAGTTGAACGTTTGGTGAGTTTTCACAGTATTTCTGTTATTTTTCACCTACCTTAATTCAGATCACCGAAGTCAGTAGAAATTTACCGGGGTTTTGAACAGCAGAGCAAGTCGGTTATGTTTTCAAATGACCGTTGCACGTAGGAAATCAATCAAATTGACATTTATTTTTTAAATGGGTATACTGAACAAAGTCTGTACAAGCTCAATTATAGCTAATTATTGGATTTTTTTTTCCTGACTTTTAAAACAATTACCGAACAGTTCTGAAGTTCAAAATTGAATTAGTGTGTTCACGGGAAAAAATCCGAACTCCAAAATGAGAAAAATGACTCATGATTTCATGAGCACAGCGAATTTTCATGTTATGAAAATACATCATGAATAAAATTCATGATATCATGAGCAATTTTTGCGTAACGCAGCCAAGATTCCCAAAATCATGAATCATCCGAGTTGAAATCATGAGCTAAATTCATGAATTTAACTTTCAGCTTTTAAACCAAAAAATGTAAAAGAATAAAATAAAGCAACAGGCTAAATACGACACAAGAACCTTGCGATCATCAAACCCATAATATGACCACTAGACTGTCAGTACTTGTATAATATGAAAGGCAAATTAATGCATTATGTAATCACGAATTTCCATCATGAAATTATGAATCATTGTTATGATTTCATGGGATGGCAAGTTTTTTTTTCAATTCATGATTTTTTATTCGTGAAAATTGAATCGAATTTGTTTGCGTGTTGGTATTATTTTGATACCCACATTTGATGATTTAATTTTGATTCATTTGGCAGACCGTGTCAAACTTTTCACGTATAAGAAGGATCTCAGGGAATGTGAAAAAATAAAACAAAATGGATGGATTGCACTAAATTTCAATGCATTAGAAATATATGTTCAGTTACGCCATACACAAGTTTTTGTATATTTTCTTTGTCTATCATTTTGATTTTAAGGGCCACCCTAATCCTGAGCAATTTTTTACTAAATTCCAAATATTTTACCTGAATAAGCATCTTCACCGGCAGCTCCTCCACTTGTGCCATTGTTATCGGTCGCTTCACTGTTGAACGGCATGGATATTGAATCCTGTAAAGTAGAAAGAAATCAAATGTTGAAATATGTTTTCCTGTACTGGATCACAATTTTTTATACCATGTCACACATCCATCCAGCATATGACTTTATCAGAGAGGAAGGTTGTAAGACTGCTCAGTTCCGAGAAACTGCAATGCTCCACATCATTAAAAAATAGCTGCACATAAAAACTGATCATTTCGATAGGGGATAATCTCAGCGTACGCACAGAAATTAGACGCAATATTCGCTCGCTTCTGTTATGCCAAGCGGAAAACCGAGTGGAGTGTGAGTGATTGCGATGCAAAGTTGTAGGGGGTGTTATCATTGACTTCGCATGTATTTCCGGCGACTGATGACGACGGGACAGCGAATAGAGGAGTGCGTGTGCAAGAGTGTGAGTGGTTTAGCCGTGGGATGGGTGAAGAAGATGAACGAGATGTTCAAATTAGAGAGTTGGATAGAATGGGGACTATGTTGCGCCCCCTTGGGCTGTTTGGATCGAGATGGAGGTACGTACAACTGCATCCCCTGTTCGATGAAGTGCATTTGGATGAGAAATAGAAGGGTTGCCATAGAGTATCGGGAGCTCGTGAAGCTATTCAATGCTATCACGGATGTCACGGAAAGAGCACGTGTGGGTGGTATGATGCACCCCTTGCTCCGTTACTCCGTCGTACCATAGCCGGTCGAGAGTGAATATCGATGTTTGTTCAACACAGGAAGGCAGGCAGTTTGCGTTGATGGCATGTGGGATGGGAAAATGAAGGCCTCTGTTCGACTCTTCCCCTCTAATCCTGTCAGGGTGGATCCCACCGAGGGAGAATCGATTCCAACACGCCATGTCCGCATTCGGGAGTGCCAAACGTAAAAGAAAATACCAAACTCAGAGTATAGATAATATATTATTCTACAACCACTGCCTACGATTGTGACTCCAGCACGTCGTTGTTGGCAGCGGCCATGGGTACGGGGGCGCGTCAGATGGGATGAGTTCAATACATATAATCTCCATCAGCCACCCAGTATTCGGACATGTCCTCAATCCCGCTGTCACCCACCCTCGCCAGTGGACCGAAAGCAACCCTCGCAAAATATAATCACTCTCGTCTTCTGAAACTTTAGCCTTTATAAGAATTTCCCAACCCCTCCTCGAGAGTGTTACCCAAAACTCCTTGCCTGAGCCCCATTCCTCAGCGATGGTCCTCTCAACCCACATCATGTCCGTAGCAACTATCCTTCGGTCCTTCTAACTTTTCGTCTTGCAAGGATACCATCAGCACCGATGCGGTGGCTGCTCGGTAAAGGAAGAAACCTTGGTCCCCTCGTTGTTTTTTTCATCATATTCTTCTTCTTCTTCTGCTTCTTCGTTTCCTTGCCATATCCCCAGGTCTTCTTTCTTCGGCTTAAGATTAATTAATTTTTATATTTTCAGCCATCAGACAGCAGGAAAAAGGATCGCACAAAAAGGGTATCTGTAATGGGACTTGAAGGGAACAGGAAATGCGGGTGCCACTGCTGCTGGAAACGGGATGTTCCGAACGGGTCTTGGAGCTCCCACAGTGAGCTAAGATAAGAAAATGGGAAAAATAAGACCAGGAGGATGGGAGGATGGGAGAAAAACTTAGATGAGGAAGCAGGAGGAAAATTCGATTCGGACTTTTTTTTGACGTTGGCTGCTTTCGCCGCCATATAAAAGCACCACTCTCCGGGTTCGTTATCCAGCAACGTGTCCCCCAAACCAGCGGCACCATCGCCGAACCATCAGGCTCCAACTTTTATATTTCTTCGAATGCGGCATAGGGATCAAGAAGAAACCCTCTTTCCTGGGTTGCAGGCTCCTAAGAGCACGCTGCTGCTGCTGCTGCTGATGCTGTTGTCGACCGATTCTCGTCCCCTTTACCATCAACCGTCCGACCGGCAGAAGACGGAAAACATCGTGGGACAGCACCCAAGGGAGGGAGCGCACAAATGGGAAACAGTGTGTACATCAGCATCCCTGGCTGGTAAGAAGAAGGAACGATGGTGTGTATTTTTTTTCCCTGCTTGCCTGCTGCTGAATGCTTTCTTGGGAGTGGGAGGTTCCTTCCTCATTTCTTGCTGGCGCTCAAACTGTCAAGAATTAAAAAAGATAGATGACATGGAAGGACTGAAGGTGTCCCGGGCGTCCGGGTAGGTACTGGGCGTGGAAACGTCCAAATAGCTTTTTTTCGGAAAGGTTGGATCAGGTCAGGTGGGGCGGAGGAGGGATAGACTTTTGGATGTGGGTGGCATTTCTCGCAAGAAACAAGTGGACCATTCCTTGAGCTCATGGTGGGAGTAACCGTATAAATTTCTCTAATGGCATGAGAACGGTATTGATTTTGTTTCTGAATTTTTAAAATGAGTCGAAATAACGTGCTTTTTATTGGGAGTCACCAATAGTTCTGGTGTACGTACATTGATTACACAGTGAGATTTAATTCAGGTGCGTTAACCTAACGACTGTGACCGCGTGCAATAATTGAATATTTTTCGCTTTCATTGCATACCATTAAATTATTTTTCAAAGATACACTCTTAAAAAGTAAGTAAAATTTAAATCAACTTGCTTAATGGCTTATCCTACGCATATATTGTCTACAGATTGCATCAATGTTTATTATTAACTTACTCCAGTATTAGTATAAGACTTTGAAGAAGATTGTTTTTATTTATCTTCTTCTTCTTCTTTGACTTTACAACACCCCCACTGGGACTTTACGCCACCACTCAACTAAGTTTCAACACCGTTGTTAATTGAGAGGCTTCTAAGCCTTTGCCAAATTTGTATAGTAAGAAGGGTCAGATCTCACCATAGGTGGATAAATTCGTTTACGCCTTGACAAGACTCGGGTCACATTCCACCGAGGATGATTTTGAAAGGTATGAAAAAAATGGGTTAGCCTTCTATGTGATTCCTAATCTTCTATTCATTGTTCTCTCAAATCAAATCATGTAACGACACCGATATTGACGATGCTTCATAACCCTAGTCTTAACCACTTAAAATTTAGTTTTGATTTGGGGTTCTGATGCATGGTGGTGTCATTGCTTTATTTTGTTGCTATAAGGAATCCAATTCTGGTTGGAAAAGGATTACCCCTTTGTAGGATGCTTTGATTCATCGAAGAGTTAAAAGCATGACACATTTAGTACTGAAATATTTTTTTTTATTACAGTGATTCTAGAGGATGTTCTAGGAAACTTTTGATATTTACATGTTCACAATAACAACAACGGTGGTGTAGTGGTAAGCGTGATTATCTCTCACCCCAGCAGGCCTGGGTTCAATCCAATCTGCTCTAGAGAAGAAAGCAAAGCGCTTAGACGGTACAATCGAGCATGGGTGGACTTCCTGGGGTCGCAGTGCACAATGGGCCAGGAATTAAATCTAGCAAGAAAAAACTACAAGCAACAGCCCTATGGGGTTGTACGCAATGGGTACGTAGGACTACGTGTTCTTATATAATAAATCGTATTTGTTAACTGCAGCAGGAGCTTGCGTTTTGTGTAGGAATAGGAATTTGAGCGGGGCTATCTCTGTTTGTACTCTTTAGTATGACACGCTTGACATAGATGGCCCACAGCGACTCATGATCAATAGCGGTGCGGGTTCTTCCTCATTTTATGGATGCTCGTGGCCTGCAGATCGCTGCTTGCAGGCAGTCTTTCGTTGTGTACTGGAGAACAATGTTCAACGCCACGTGTCGAAAGCACTGCTGCTGCTGCTGCTGCTGATGCCAACGACCGCACACCACCACACACGGTGATTGGAACTGAATCCGATCAGCGGTTGAGGCCAGCGTTGATAGCTAGCTGCTTGTGGGGAGCCTTTCATTGTGTACTGGAGAACACCACCAGACCGGTTGTAATTCAACTTTGAAATCTGTGTTTGGGAAATCGCTTTTCACAGGCAATCGGTGATAATTTTAGCTATCATAGCAACAGTTGCACATTCGTTCAATTATCAATAGTGAAATTTTGAAAAATGATAAAGTCTTATATTAAAAAAATGCGTAATAATATTTCTGATCGATTGGTGATAAAATTACTTGAATTGGTCCAGGGGCAGCTGAGTTATTAAGTCTTTCATAATTTTGTTACATGTTCCATTGTTTTCACAAAGTGTACCCCCATATAGAAATCACAGACGTAGTCCTACGTTAAAAAATAATAACACTCTGGGGTTGCATCCAGTTGAGTTGACGTCTGCAGTGAAGTTTCTTGGATTAATTATGACCAAAATTTTATGGAAAAAAATAGTTCATGTTTTGGCCACAAAGATGACGCAGCGATACAAACTTTTTTTATTTTACATGATAGAGGTTTTCTGTATACGGTAAAGCTGTAGAACGTAATATTTTTTTTAAGTTGCCGGAGACATAAAAGCTTCAAACAACTGAGATGTTCATAAAATTTGACTGGAATCAAAGATATCAAATTAACAAGATATCCCACTAATCAATTCCTCATACAAGGCATATAATTACCACCCGAATGTGATCACAGTGCCATCTGTTGAGTGCACATTGAAACTATTGGGAGTTTCCCGCCAACTTTACCACCTGGGCTCAATAACTGACAGGTGTCAGCATGACAGGTGTCAGCATGACAGGTGTCAGCATGAAAGGTGTCAATGTGGACGTTGATGATCAGCCGAGGAAAGAGGACGATATCATCCTCGATATCATCCTCCTATTATCATCGAACAGGGCATAACTTTTTTACCATTGGGTAAAAATCAACCAAATTTTGCACACTTTCTCATTGATGTGTATTGTGTACATGCTGTCACGCTCGAAGTCGTGTTTTTCGATTCAACGAAAATGGAGGTGAACCAACGCGAGTTGAGAGAACAAATTCTTTCCAAACACCTGGAATTTCCTGACCTGTTGCACCGGCAGTTGCGAAAAATGTTGAACATTCACCATTCAACCGTCTCCAGAGTGTTGAAGCGGTTCCAGGAGTGGTTGACGTTGGACCACAGCAAA